TAATGATGTCGCGACGTCGAGTGTGCGTGGTCTGTAGAAGTCGGCAGCTAGCCGCACCCGCACCCGCGACATGGCAGCTAGGCGCACCCGCACCCGCATCCGCGACACGGTCGCGTGAGTACTGCATAGCGATCTTTAGCTAGAACGATTTAACGATGACAATTGAATCACTTCCAAAATTCCTCTGCGCTATCAACTCCCTACATACACGGCTTGCCGCAGTTGAACGCCTTTGTGTGCTCGATAAATAGTGATGCAAATTGAGTGGTGTCGCCCGGTCTGGTAAATTAACGGATGATTGCCACTCTCAACCCACAGATCATAGCATTCAAAGTTTTGTATGGAGTAACCTGTTCTTTTTGTGAGATGCACCGCGTTCGATGGACCCATGGCCTTCACACTCAGCATGTTATCGACGCCCACAGCCTGCGTATGGCGCCAGAACCCCCAGAACGACCCAAACGCCGACCGAAGCAGCACGATTACCATTACCGACGTCACTACCCGAAAATCCAAAGCCCACGTCAAGAGAGCCTAGAACCCAATCACATGAGGTAGAGCTTTACCATCGTGAACCAGAGTGCAACGCGATCTCGTACCTGGAGGATCGCTTCGGGGACGTCGTGTACGTCTTGGTCACAATCTCGGCCGTCCACTCGCCGCGACCCCTCGTCAGTTTTCTACGACAAGATGAATCCGACGATCTTGAAACTCCAAGGCTGTCACCCATATATCTGGCCGTTGTGGGGCGGCGCCGACTGCACGCAGTACCCCTCAGTCTTGCTTCCCGCGTCATCCACCTTTGACCACGCACATGTGTCTTCTTGGACTTTGCTCGACGACATTGCGACGCCGTCAAAGCTCAGTATCATTGACGACAGCTCAAGGCGGGGCGAACAATAAGCGGCATTGACGTTGGCACACAGCTGGTCTACGGAGCACATGCATCACATCATGCGTCAGACAACTCAATGGATCGTCCACGAGTTGGTGCTGGAGAGTCCAACATGGTCACGTGAAGCTATTCATTGCTCCAACGGATATCGGCGATTTACTCGGAGACTCGTGTCTTGAGTCCACATGCATCCATTCGCAACGTAGAGGGACATGAGATCCGACGGTTCAAGATTGTAGAGATTTTCTCGTTTGTCAAACAAAATTATATGTTTGGTTTGGAGGCTGGGCGACCCGCTCATCTAATGTCGCAATCTGTGCATCAAATGTTAAATCGAATTTTATGACGCTGTGCCTATAGAGAAGAACAAAAGAGCCAGTTCTGCCTACAAAGTAGAATTATATCACATCCGTGAGTTGAAGCTGCCAATCCACTCGGAAAACAAGGCCATGGTCATCCTAGCCTTGCGGTTCGAGCGGTAAAGCAACTCCAACTCACGGGTGCTCATTGAGCCAAAGCAGCGTGGACGCATAGACTTCCCGATAAAATGTGGCGGCAACTTGTCTGAACCATCGGCATTGGCTGCATGGGCGACAGAGATGCGCGTCTTGTCTTGTTTTGTCCCCGGTCGTGGCTTGTCGGATATTGTGGTACGTGATTGCGCATTATAATATCCCAGTTTCATCCATGTTGTAGATGTCCGAGATCCTGTACATTTCGGTTACGGCTTGAACCATCTCTCGTCCAGAGGCAACGACGTTTTGGCTGGCAGACGCCGCTTCGCCATGAAGGCAGAACATCTTCAGGTTGTTTCGCATTTGCAAGTGGTAAACCCACCCTTTGGAACATTTCAACTTTCCTCGTAGGTTTAAACGGGCAGCAATTCGAAGCCCAGCTCGGGCAATAAGCTGTCCCGTGACACTTGCATCGCTTTCGTTTGCCATGGCCACCCATGAAGCTACTTCTTTGTCGAGATCTGGGTACTTTGGACGGTGTAAGTTGTATCTCGACTTTGCAGTTGCCTCTTTGAAATTGTAGGCATCGAGTGAACGGCAGTCTTTGAGGATGCGACGTATTGTGGTGATGTGGACCTTGTGGCCAAGGTGTTCAGAACCCATTCTTGGACCTTACTGGTCATTATAGGCGCGTGGGCTCGGAAGAAGTCTCTTATGGAGTTCTTGTCGTGACGTGTCAAGCGGTTGCTCTTTGGTCGTTTGCTGCGCAGCATTTTCTAGATTGGCTACTCTACATGACGTCGACACCGCCGCACATTTGAAATTTCAAAACGAACATGCAACACTTTTAAATGACCCTTGAAAATTAAATTGTCCACAGGTTAATATCAAATCGATATACAGTATACAGAATATTGACTTTCAGTAGGGAGCAATCGTCGAGGGATGACTGTATCGACAGTGTCGAACTTCAGGGAGGCATATTTCCTCAAAAATCAGCTAACATACTGCACGTAAATATACTGTGGCTGTACACAGCGCGCCACATGATTAGACCCGCGTGGAATTTGTTCTGTACAGTCTGACCTTTTATGATCTGTGGCAAACAATTCAGGGCCCGACACCTGGAGACATGCTTTGTGTTAGAAATCAATCATTTAATCACGTATGTTGTCTGTAATAGCTCGATCTGCATTGTCATGACATTATACCCGCGCCAGAAGAATAGAACTACACCACAAATCACACAAAATGCTTGCTCAAATGTGCATTTTTATCACTCTAGTGGGTAGTTCTACCTCCTTTGGCTTCCACCACGGCAACACAACGTTGTGGCATCGACTCAATGAGCGCAGTGACGAAGTCTTGGCCGATCCCACGCCACTCGTCCAATATGGCCGTCTTGAAGTCAGCAACACCTTGAAACTGCCGGCCGTTTCGATAGACACTTCGCGCAAGGAGGCCCCAAAGGTTCTCAATTGGATTCAAGTCAGGAGAAAGTGGGGGGTGGTCAAAAAGATTCACATTTTCATCTTTCAAAATTCTTTCGTGTATTTTGACGTATGAATCGAAACGTTATCTTGCATAAACACGAATTCATCAGCATAATGGTAATGTGCAAATGGAAACAAGTAGTTACTCAATGTTTCAACATATGCAGATGAATCCTGAGTACCAGAAAGAAAAGCCAATTCAGACAAACCAGCAGATGAAAACGCACCCCAAACCATCACACCACCCCCACCGTTCCGACGCGCGGAAAACGTGTCATCCTCCTTGCGCAAATCATGCCAATAATGCTGAAGCCCATCTGGGCCATCGAGGTTAAACCTCTTCTCATCAGACCAAATAATATGATCCCAGGCAGGTGGCTTCGCGAGGTGCATTTTTGCGTAATCCAGTCGCATTTTCTTGTGACGGTCTTTCAACGCTGGCATCGCCTTCCGCTTCTTGTAGCGTAGGTTTGGGACTCCCATGAGTCTCCTCTGGCATGCTCGAAGAGAGGCAGCCAGTTCAGGCTTGTCTTGAGGCCCCGGGCTGACAAGGATGTCTTGGATGCCTCTCGGACGAGCAACCGGTACTCTGAACCAACGACGAGGGCCGCCTTGCGGCCCTTGAATTTCTTCCCGTATTGTTCTGGGTCCTTCAAAAACGTCCTGACGGCCTTCGGGGATCTTGAAACCTCGGTTGCGATAGCACGGATGCTTAGTCCGTGCTTGTGAGGGCCAAGACCATTCCTTGCTCCATCGGACTCAAGAGAGGTCCCAGGCCCATTTTATGTGGCTCAGAGGACAGTTGATGTAGCCTACATTGGTTTTGTTAAGTTTATGCATCGTCTGAGGTGATGATTTTACTTGCAGAGCGAAAATTCTCAAATGGGTCTATCCTAATGGCGGGGGATTTTGAAGCGCCTCATCAAGATTGGCCCATTCTGTATTCGAAAGGGCGCCAAATTGTTTGTCATTGTTATTGACCAATCAAACTAGTTAAATTGTGACTCTTGTATAGTCTCAATTTCTGATTGGTTTCACAGGATCATCAAAAATCTATGTGGGTCTAATTATGTGGCGCGCAGTGTAACAGATTTGGCAGATTTTGCGATCGCGAATCTTCTTCTATAGCAGTGTTGCAATGTGCGCGACCCGCAGGCCATCGCGGGCGACACACAAGTCGCAGCCCAATGAGGGTCCGGCTGCACCGAAGAATACACCCAAGAAAGTAACTAAGCTGCAAAGACGAACGCAGATAATCTCACAGCCTGTAGGAACTATCGATAGGTGTGCAACATGGCACCGGTAGGAGCACCATGGCGACATCTACTGATATAGACATCCCTAGACCAGCGAAATGCTGCATTAGATATGTTTGATGTGTTTCTGAAAGGTGCAAACCTGTCGTGGGACACAGTCGGAGTAATTTGGAAGGAGACGGAAGCTGCCCAGAGCATGGGCGATGAACTCCTGATTCCCAGCATATACACAATCCTCCATCTCTGGGTGGTTTTCCTCTTTAACATCTCCAGGACACGCTCCAAGAATCATGAGAACGTCTTCTCCGATGGTACTGCGGACAACTATCTATCCCAGGTTGCTTTTGCATTTGCACCATAGATTAAAGCAGGAATCAAAGGAGCGCTGCAGCCCAAACGATATGCTAACGTCCAAATGAAAAATGGTTCGCAACGACGTGAGATGTATATTTACCGAGCGCGCAACATGAACACATCTTGCAGCAACAAGCCCTTGCGATGATAGTGGAGAACATGTCTACCCTTGGTCGTTTGCTATTCTCAGGGTACAGAATGTGTTGGTATTTGTGTGATCTCTTATGCTTTCTAGGTGACAGGAGATCAACTCACGTATTTTGTAGTCTTGTGATCTTGTGGCACATGCTCGGTCGGGGCATTGATTCGTCGTGGCTGACTCGCATGCTTTTGGTGACAACCGATCCGAGTCCATTTTACTGGACCTCATTCAACAGGACGGTGTGGCCAGTGAGGTAGTGTCATTGTTAGTATTTTCCTGGTGAGTGATCAACTTTGGCGATAAATTTCTCCTGAAAAATATCGTAGAACACTTATGGGATCGGCGCCATATCACAGCTTGGGGCCCTCCTCAATACTCCCTCTGTCCCACAATACTTGCGCAGACAGAAAATGGACGTACGGCTCCTTGAAAAAAAATTGAAAACCTTTCAAAATATTATACTATGCATCAATTTCTGGAGTTGTAACGATGCAATGGACCAATGAAAACATGGGAACCAAATGTCTCAGAACCAATAAAACGACAAGATATGCCAAATCTGACCAATCGATTCCGGAGGGGGTTTACCTCAGGAACCCTCCTACCGAGCCCAACAACTTCACACAACATGCAACGGTTAGCTTTACTCATCAGAATCCAAGCAGATTGGATCAATACCAACTTCAGCCATCAACTCATCTACCGTTTCGTCGTCACATAGGACAAGACGCTCGAGCACTTGGGCAAGGTCGTTCATGCTTCGCGCCTCGTCGAGTTCCTCCTTGAACTTTCGTTCCATAACGGTACGGTCAATGGAATCCAGAGAAAGCTTGGTGGCTTCGTAGGTCACCTCGGGACATGCCACGTTTTCGGGCAGCATGCCTTGCCGTGCTCTCTTCTCCTTCGAGAGGTGAGGCAACTTGTACGCGTTGTCACCTTGGCACTTCATCGTCTCGACTAGGCATGCCTGCAGTGTCATGAACGTTCTGTTCAGACGCTCAAACGGGTACGTATCGAATGCCGCGAACACATTGCTGATGAGCTCGTCCACAGTGCGGGCTGACGTACGGTGCTGCAAAGACTGGATCGCGGCGAAGAAACCGAGGTCGAGGACATTCATGTCAGGTGAGTTGGGAGGCTGGGGCTTGATGGAAAACGTCCAACCCATGGGGTTGTAGTTGGCGAAGGCAGTAGCCAGTGCGGCGTCATCTGGTGTAACATGAGCACGAGCATTGTCGTGCTGGAGGTGCACGAGGCGCTTCGGAGAGGGCCACTTCGATACGATAGCTGGCAAGACTTTTTCCACGAGAAACGTGCGGTAGACGTCCTTGGTAACTGACAGTGCCTTGGTCTCGTAGGTGCCCGCTGGCCTGTTTGCACTGCTTCGCTGTGCTGGAATGGATTCAACGAACGGCCAGGTGCCGATCTTGCCGTCCCACCAAGTTCCGGTGGCGTCGACGAACCGAGGCCGCGCCACAGCACTGAAGATCATAATCTTCGTAATGTACCTCTTTGACTTGCACGTTCTATGTGGTTCTGTCTCCCCAGGAACGAGGTAGTACCGGCGGGTTGTCTTTGTGAGGTAAAACCATTTCTCGTCCAAATGGACGTAGTGCATCATGTCGTCAAATTCCATGCTCGCCCGAACGAAATCGAAAGCGAAGTTCATGCGGATGTACTTGTTGGCCTCGGTTAATTTGGGGCGGATAGCATTTGAGTGCAAGCGAAAAAGACCCATTTTGAGGTACCTATGGAGTGATCCACGGCTAATTCCTACGACGATATTGAACAAACTGTTGAACTATCCTATGTATATACCTGTGTGCTCCGAGATTGATCGAAGCGTTGTGCGTTGGGCTAGTGGAACACGCAAAATCTTTTCCTTCACCACCCGAGGGGTGAATGCCACCTTTCTACCCACGCGGCCTTTCTTTTTGCTCGCAACGGAAACCTTCATATTGCCCACAGCAACTCCCTGCTCCTTCGCTCGGGCGAATACGCGCCGGATGGTTGAGGCATGGCAGTTGTACTTCTCTGCCAGCAACTGTGCAAGTCCTTTCGGAAGTCGAGCCAACGATTTCGTACTGCTATGGAGCAGAATCTCCCGAAGGATGGCCTCGCGGTTTTCGTTCGTCAGGTCACGCTTGTTGACCCGCATTTCGAATGTTGGTCACTGCATTTATATGATTTAATGTATACAAACTTTGCGAACACTTTTTGTGATGGTTTGGCTATATTTTTCCCTCGCTGGCACATGGCTTGACAGAACTCGGCGCACACTTTCACATGGACCAATGAAACACGTGAAATTCGAATAATGGCAGACGACATTATAGTTTGAAAATCACTTGCGAATATAATACGTGTCATTTCCCCCCTCCTGGAAACTGCGCAAGTATTGTGGGACAGAGGGAGTAGGATCGCAGACGATGTCCAGGATGCGTGTGCTCAGTCCGGGAAAATACGCAAGCGTCTCGCAGCTCATCAATTAGGAGCTCACGCAGTTGGACGTAAAACATTGAATTTCAGGCGTGTCAACAAATTCGAACATGTTAACATGTACTGCAGGTGTCGCACAAGAATTTGGTTCTGTTGTCTTGACAGCGGGCTTGCAATCGCACTCTATCCACCGTGACGCGGCGCAGCGGACGGCATCATCCTCCAAGATAAACATGTTGTCTTGCGCCGGTTTGCAACCAGCTACCGCACTCAGGACGGTAAACCTTGATGACAAATCCAAAAGTGAGCTCTGTTATCAACCACGCTACAGTCTGGAATAAAATTATAGCCGCACCCCAAAATTTTCATGATGTGAAGTTGCTGTTCAACAAGCTCGAAATCTAACCATTCTATTCGAAAGATATGACGAGAGCGCTCCCATCATGACGTACACAGCTCCATGGCTATATAAATTTTTGATTTACGAAGAAAACATTGAAAATTGTTTGGTGCATTATTATATCCGCACTACCTACATGTCAACTAATAGTCGATTTTTGCTCCTCTCTTCAAGATGACTTGAGCCATTCGTGTCGACATACTGTCAACAAGTGTCCGGCAGTACGCTAGCGTGATACGTTCCCA